TTCATTTAGATTGTACAAAAACATTTTTCTGCTTGGCTTAATGTTGTATTAGAACGACGTTTACAAATGGGTCGAGCAGGTGCATTAGCTGATTGGAAATTATTATTTCAGTATGTTTAAAATACAAAATTCATCATATCAATAAGAAAATTTTTAGATCATTTAATTGGTGGAGAAGTATAATTCGAACAAAAAAACTCGAAGAAGAAACCGAAGCACATATGAATGAAATGAAAATATTTACAATGAAAATGCAACAAGCAAGTTTACATTATGAACGAACATTATTACGAAAGTATTAAATAATTTTTCATAACAAAACTTCTTTTTTATTTTATATTATTATTTATTAAGATCAATGATAGTATGGCAAATATATATTCGTAATGAACGTATTTCTAAAAATTTAAAATATGAACAAGAAACAACAAAGAAAAAAATTGATGCATTTCTTGAAGCTGCATCAACTGGTAAACTTTGGGAAAATGAACAACAAACACCAACTACAACAACAACGAATGCTACTGCTATAACAACTCGTCAACAATCTCAACAAATAAAACCACGAAAAGTATCAATAACTACTCGTCCATCTTCATTAACTTCTCGATCACGTTCAGCTATAACATTTGGTGATAAATCATCATTACTGACAAGAACTCAATCGGATATTAAACTTGATGATTTTTTCCAAACAACATCTCCACATAATGAACAAGAAGAATCACAACGAGCGTAAGATTAAATTTTTAATTTATTATATGACAAAAAATAAATTCTTTTTTAATCGATATTTCGATAGATAATTAGATAATCTTTTGATACTTGAAATTTTCTATGGATATACATAGAAAAAAAAAGTCTTCAATTGACATTCACTTGATGATAGATATATATCTATAAATGCTATTGAAATTCATCGGCAACATTTTCTTCTTAAATATTCAAGATAGATGTATCCGCGACAATATGTTTGTTGCGTATACATCAACGTTACACTCCTTGGTTATCTATTGCTCCGATATACAGTGGGTACTAAAATTATTCAACAAGATGTATTTTAAAGTTTTTCTGCTGCTTATTATCAGATTCTCAAAAATAGAGACTCCAGAAAACAAAAAGACTAGTTTTTCAGCACCTAGAACGGGTAAATGTATTTTTGTTCAGACTACATAGGATAATGGAGAAAACAATTCTCTAGAAAATAAGCCATTAGCCAGTTCTATACGACGATTTTTTAGTGAAGATACAGCAATCTCACAGAAGCCCCTAAAGTCGTTTTTTTTCCAAGTTCCTATAGAAAAACCATTTTTTGACCTATAATTGAATTGTTATATCTCAGCCAAAAAACGTTGCAGACAACTCGGCGATGTTTCATTTTGTAAAGAATAGTTTGCTCTATCGTTCTATGTAGTCTAGACAAAATTCTATTTACGTGCTCTAGATGTCAAAAAACAAGGGTTCAGGGTTTTCTGGAGTCTCTATTTTTGAGAATCTGATAATCATTTTTATTTCCTTATATTCTTGTTAGAAACAGTTTTCTCTATTCGAGTTCTTTCTGATGCTTACCACAACAGAAAAAAATTGAAAATAAATCTTCTTGAATAATTTTGGTACTTACCATACGAAGATATTGATTAGGTTTCAAGGCTACTGAAAAAGACTTTGTTAAAGAGTAATAGAATAGTATTTACAAATGGAATATGTGAATATTTTAGTAACTTTTATAATATATATATTAGCAAGCAATTACTATTTTCACAGCTTGAAAAAGTTCAATAGAGAATTTCAAACATTATCAGACTAAATGTGCAATTTCAAGGAAAACAAAACGTATTCATCTTTCATTTGACTTTGATTCTTTACAAGAGTTGCTTATCTAAACAGATTCTTTAAATAAAGTGTTGACACTTGAGTAAAACTAATCAGTTCAAAAATGATTAATTTAAGGTAACATGCATATAACATCTAAAAATTACCTCTAGAAAAATTTAGTATTTTAGAGATATATACATTTCAATTCTTCAATGTCACTTTCCTAACGAGTGAAAATGCCCATATAATAGATTTATTTATAATCAATTAAAAAAAAAACATCAACTGCAGATATCTCTTTCCAAACTAGATAATTATATTCTATTCATTTTGTTTTGTAGCGTTAGTGCTGGTTTACCATTAGCAACTGATACACGTCGTATGCATCTTGATTTTGATGAATTATCAAGTAGTGATGAAGATTTAAGTAAGAAAAAAATGCGTGAAAAACGTATTCGTCTTGAAATGGGTGAACATAAATCTACATCACGTGTTATGAATACATTTGAACATCGTTATAATGCTCAAATGAAAATGCTTAAAGAACAAAATCGTTTATTAAAAGGTTTATTTTCTTTATTGAAATTTAATTTAATTTATTTTTGTTTTTGTTCTTTTCTTTAGATCAACAAAGAATGATAGGAGAACTTAAATATCAACAAGATCAACAATCTCTTCATAATCAAATTGCTAATCTTGAAGCACTAAAAGCACAACAAGTGAAAAAAATTTTTTGTTAACTTCTTTTTGTTTTTGAAAAAAAAAAGAAAAAATTCGTTTTTAGAATGAAATGGAAGAAAAACAACGAAAACAATTAATAACTGATCGACGTCATGCAACTGCTCTTATTCAAGCACACAATCGTGGAGAATTACAAAAACAATTTAATACAAGTCAATTGGAGTATGTGTTAAGCCCTCTCGGGAATAAACTTTTTTTTTACTCTTCATTCTATTTCAATCAAAATTTCAGAGAATATCATTTTTGACTGGAATAGAAAATGAATAAAATATCTTCCTACATCTCTAAGATTTTCATGAGTTATAGCCAATCCATTGGTCAAAAGTATCCTTTACGCGTGTAAAGTTTTCAAAATGAGGATACGAGCTAACATATTGGAGTGGTTTTTAAATTGTAGAGTACACTTAGGGCTAGATCGTAATAGAACTCGATTTTAGAATTTTCCTGCTCGTTTTTTTTAAAGCTTTTTTTTTGAAAGAATTCTTAAATTCGTGGCCAAAACAATCGTTATCCCAATCAAAGATCTAAGTTTTTCATTTCAGCAACAGAGAAATTCAAAATTAGGCTCTATTATGATCTAGCCCTAACTGTCTGTTGTATAATAAAAACACCTGCCAGTTTTATATCGACTCGTTATTATTAAGAAAAGTTTGCCCGCGTAAACGGCATACTCGAAAAAATTGATTCTGAGACAAACGAAAAACAATGTTTTTGATTTCGTAAGTGTTTCGATTCGAAATAAGTTCACCTATGTTACCTAATATTTTCGCACTATTCGCCAAGCTTCATTAGATGGTGTATATGGAGATATATCATAGAGCCCTGAGAAGCACTTATTATGCCAAAGTTTCGATCATGGTTCTTTATACGTAGGTATAGGGTAAGGTGTGGATATCGGTGAGGGCAGGACCTCTATTCTACCCACACCTCACAATATATATATATATAAATCGACTTTTTCTCGTAAAGTTGACATTTCTGAATGTAGTGTCCTTAAAAATACCTCTATTTTTTTTTTTCATTGATTTTCCAATAGTCAAACATTAACTGATCGACCAACAACAAGAAATGATATGTTATTAGCAAATATGGAAGAACGAGCACGACGACGATATACATTAAAAACTGAACGTGAAACTAAACGACGAGCTATTGAAGAAGAAAAATTCGTTAAAGTACAACGTATGAAAAATAAAATCCGAACAACGTTCTTTTCAAAAAAAAAGAATAATAAAAATTTTTTTTTAATTTTTTATAGAACTAATGGAAGAAAAAATTCGTCAAGAAGAAGAAGAAAAACGATTAAAAGTTGAAGAAGCACGAGAAAAACGTCGTCTTGAAAAAGAACGTGAATTAGAACGAAAACATTTTGAAGAACGTTTACAATTATTAAATGAAAAAGCTGTTATTCATTGCAGGTAAAAATTTATTTTTTTCTTTTAAACAAAAGAGAACAAAAAAAAACATATTATAAAATATTTCATCTTTAGACTCTATCGAATGCGTTATTATGGATTAAATCCATTAAAAAAACTTATTTTAATTCGTCATCAACAAATACAAACAGCTGAAGAACATTATAATTATATAATTGTACAACGTACATTTAATGTTTGGTATGAAACAATACGACGAGATATTGAAATAAAAACTAATCGTGCTTTGGAATTTCATAAACATTTACTCTATCGTCGATATTTTACATCATGGCAACGATATAAACATCAAACAGAAATAGCTGAAGAACGAGCTGAAAGATATTATATAAATCATTTAATGATAAATACATTTAAAATTTGGCAAGATTATACACAAACAGAAATCATACGTCTATGGCGTTTAGATGATTTAGCTAAAGAACATAATGTTAAAAGAATTTTAAAAACTATGTTTATTATTTGGCGTCAATATCCAATGGAAAGACGAAAAGAACGTGGAAGAGAAAAACGTTTAGCAGAAATGCGTTTAAAAGTTAAAGATTTATTACCCGATTTCCATGGAACAGAATCATCATCATCATCATCATTAAATGCAATTAATGGCAGTGATAATAAAACTTAATTGTTTTTCACATAATTTGTTTTTGTATATTTTATTCAATGTTGTTCTTCGTTTTTTTTTAAATCGATAGCAATTATCTGTATGCCTACAACACAAGATAAGACAGATTTTCTATCGTGGATGATTCATTATCATAGGATTGACAAAATAGCTAATATAACGCAGGGCTATCTTGCTTTCTATATGGCGAAAGTTGGGGCGTAAAGAAAAGAAAAGAAAAAAAATATGAGTGCAAATAGTACTATGCCGACGGAATGTCTTTTTTTTCCTTCTCTCATGGCAGTAATTTTGTGAGACTCACAACTAATACTAAACATCATATAGTTTTTTTTTCCTAATATAATGGATTTAATGATGTTGTTTTTTTCTTTTACATTTTAGATATGGGCGATAAACGTAAACTAGTACCACATTTTAAAGAACAACTAACAGGTAAGTATTTTTAATATATTTATCTATTTATTTTCTTCTATGTTCTATATTTAGAGATTGTCAAAGTATTGTCACATAATGAAAGACGTTTACAAAAAACTCGTCGAGAAAAAATCAAAAATCTAAATCAATTAAAACCAGGTGATCATGTTAGTTTTTATAAAACAGATTTTTATTATGCTCATCATGGTATTGTTAGTGAAGTATATACAAATTCTCTTCGTGTAATACATTATTTTAATACATTAGAACATGCACGTAGTGCATTAATGAAAGGTTCAATATATATAGCTGCTATAATTGTAAGTGATTGGCGAGTTAATGTAAAAAGTACTACTGAAGATATTTATTTACATCATTATGATAATATTTCATGTTTTTCTAATGAAGAAACACTTCAACGAGCTTTTTCACAACTTGGTAAACGTGGTTATTCATTATTAGGAAATAATTGTGAACATTGGGCTAGATGGTGTCGAACAGGTGAACATTATTCAGAACAAGTTGTTAAATTTCGAAATTTAGTTAAAAAAAAATCAGCATCATTATTAATTGTTGATCCAACAGCATTATTAATAAAAGATATAGCATTGATTAGTGTTCGAACATTTGGACAATTTTTAAGTGCTGCTGGATCTGGTGTTATTCTAACTACTATGGAATCTATTTCAGCATTTTTCGATATACATCAAAAGAAAAATGAAAGAAAAAAAGGAACATTAAGTGATATTGCACTTAAAAAATATGTTGTTAGACGTGTTACATCAGCATCAACGACTGTAAGTTTCTCTTTTTTTTTTGCATAAATAAAATTGTATAGAGTGTTCAGAAAGTTATCGATCAAAAAGAAAATTCTATATCTTCATTTATAGTTCTATTGTATGAACTGTTTTTTATTCTAATAATAAAGAATAAAGTTCTTTCTTCGAATTGCAGAAAACAATATTGCAAGGTTTTTTCATTGTTGTGAGATTCCAATCATCTAGATTTATTTCTCTGGCTTTATAAGCATTTTATTAACATGTTTAAGAAACCGAGGGTAATTGATACATTTCTTTAAAATAATTTGTTCGTTGCTTATGAAAAACTTTCATGAAAAATAAACTGAGTAATCAACGCGATTTTAAAGTTGTTATAGACATTAGACTTGAGATCAATGTATCTAGTTTGTTTAAAATGTTCAACAAATCTTAATAAAGAGAAACAAGGGTGGATGATTGGAAGCTTACAATAATGAAAAAACTCTGTAATATTGCTTTTTGCAACTTGAAAAAGGACTTTATTGTGTATTAAACCTGAAAATACTACTTTGTAAGAGCATTTGAGAACTTTATATTTATAAATAAGAACTTAGAAGTGTTCTCTACTACTAGTTAAAAAACCAGTGCATTCAATAAAAGGTATCTCATAAGTTCTGAACCTCAACAAAAATTAGTTTTTGTGTAAATAAAGAGTGTTTCCCACTCAACTATATCTATATGAGCTTCGAATACTTAGAACGATGCGTCAAATGACATATTATCTGATAACATTATCTCTTTTAATAATAGCGATATAAACAGCAGAAACGTAATAATTCAGATATGAGTAAAGAGGATAGCCGCACCCATCCACACCCTAGATACTATGTATCGCTTTGTATCATTGTGTTATGTTACATACAATGAATGCATAGTTCTTTAAAACGTCTTACAAAAATACAAGTTGGTTTCAAGATTTTAATTATCATATTTCTTCTGTTTATATTGTTATTATTAAAAGAGATAATATCATTAGATAATATGCGCGTTTAAAACGTCGTCCTAAGTACTTGAAGTTCATATAAATATTGTTGTCTATGGATCACTCTTTGTTTACAGATAAACTAATTTTCATTGAAGTTCACAACTCATGAGACATCTTTTAGAAACATTATGGAAATATACAATTTTATTTTTCATCAATGACGTTCCAAACATCCTGTATATTTTTATTTCTAATAGATTGCTGGTGGGACAGCGGGCACAGTCGTTGGAACAATTTTTATTCCTGTTCCAATTTTGGGTGCGACAGTAGGTGGCATTGTTGGTAGCGTTGGTGGAAAACTTCTTGGTGGTGTAGCTGGTATTGCATTATCAAAAATTTTAGAAGTTTATGAAAAAATTCAAGCATCAAAAATTAAAAAAATGACAACTATACCACAATTAATGGCTAATATATCACCAACAAGTGAATTGGTGAATGGTTTAAAGACACTTACATTCGAACGTGAAGAAGAAGAACGAATAACAAAAGCTGTTCAAGAAGCAATTGATGTAAAACCTTCATCACAATCACTTTATCCATCATTAGATGAATTTATATGTGATAATTCAAATATCACTGAAGAAAAATATCAACATACAAAAGAATTAACAAGAGAATTATTTTCTGATGATAATTCAGTTGAATATTTTATTTTAACACCAATACCAGATCAGAATGCACCTGAAGAATTTGCATCATCAACAGATTTACTTGTACTTCGATGGCCAATTGAAGCAATGAAACCGTGGGAATCGAATGAAGAAACAGTTTTAGATATTGATGATTTAAATATAAACAAAGAATGAATTTATTTATTTATTTATTTATTTATTTTTTTGTCATTAAACAAATGTCAGATTTATTTTTTTGATATAAAAAAAAAAAACATATCTTCTTTGCATCTAAAAAAAGAAAAGAAAAAAATTAAGTTGCGGCTGGTGTAACGGTAGGTGCTTCATTTTCATCACGTAAACCCATTTCACGTAAAACACCAAATTCAAATTGAAGAAATTCATTATATTCACTCTTCATTCGTATATCGATTTCTTCTTGTGTTGAAATATGACTTGGTGCAATACCAGCTTTCATAGTTGCTAAACGTTCTTTTTCACGTTTTTCTTCTTCACGTAAATCCCATCGATGTTTAACAAAAGCACGTCGTTCAGTTTCACGTTCAAGATAATTTGTAACCACTATATAAAAAATAGAATTCAAAACAAAAAATATTGGTCTTAAAAAAAACAACAACAACAACAACAACGTACAATTTAATTCTTGATTAACTGGTTGTCGTAATGCCCATGGTACTTCAAGTATATGAAGTGTACCATTACTATCTCCAGCTGCTAAAAGTTGTTGTTTAGCTAAATAAAAATTTAAAATAAACAAAAATATATAAATTTAATCTGAGTTTTTTTTAATGATTTTGTTTTACATGATATAACTTTTATACTAAGAAAAGTTACAGATGAACTTGATATAGATTGAGATATTGATGCATCATGTGTTCGATCAATTATATCCCAAATATCAATACTACCATTTTGTTTTGATATATAGAAAACACCTGGTCTTGTTGGAGACCATTCAACATCAGTTATTTTTTCTTTCAATGGTGCTGCATGTAAAAGTGAACCAGACTAATAAATAATAATAAAAAATATTGAATGTATGAATATTATTTTTAATACTTGATTTAGATCATTCACAAACAACAAGAAGTAAAAAGAAACCTTAATGATAGGATTTGATTTATAATCTATATATAATGTCTTTGTACAACAACGTATCTATGTCATTTTCGTCTATTTATATAAAGCATTAGAGAGAATCAAAAGTAATCAGTTAGAATGAGAATGTCATACTCTTTCAGATATATATTTGGAATATTTTTTCTGATTTTAAAGTTCGCTTGTTAAGAATAAGTTCTTGATGGAAGTAAAAAAAAAACAGTATTTGTACAAAATACTATATGAAAAAGTCTTGACAAATATATTCGTTCTTTTTTTTATGGAAAACTAGATGTCATTGAAGATAATCACAAGTAGTCAGTTAGGATTAGAATTTAGTACTCTTACCAATTCTCTGACTTACGGCTGGTTGATATTTGATATGCAATAGATTTCGAGTATTTTTAGCGGGATGTAAAAGGATAGACAAATTGGGCATTTTCTAGATCAAACCTGGTTCTACAAATTTTTATATAAAAAAGACTCTCTTATAGTTTAGATTAAAGTCGTGTTAATAAAAATACTAAAATAACCTTCATGAAAAATTCTGTACAGATGCCGCTTTTAGCTCCTATCAATGATTTGCTCTCAATCAAACAATTCTAATCCAAAAACAAATTCCGAATCCATGTTTAGAAAGAACATGAAATTCTCATTCTAGCTGACTACTTTTTATTCATTCTAATTACTTATAAATGAACGAAAATGCCACAGATCTTATTGCGCATAGACCTTTTACACATAGGTTATATTCATATACTATGGATTATATAAATAATTTTGAGCTTAACTAAAATATCTGAGCTTTATTCTTTGTTATCTAATACAGTAGTTTTCTAACAGATTAAGATCGAAGGACCCCGCGGGATTCGATGACCTATAGTGAATCAGGATACTATATATGTAGTTTTGTAAAACAAATTGCGACGCATTGAATGGGATATAATAAATCAAATTTTATGAAAATTTCTATGTGCTAAGGATCGATGCATTGGTTATAGTGCTTGACGGATATTATAGGATACTCATAGACATTGTAATCTGTAGGAGAGTCTAAAACAAATTTATGCGAATTTTTTTAAACTCAATTCAAGATAGATAATCAACACCATATCCTTGATGAACTGATGTAAATAACTCGTTTAAAAATGAAAAACTAAACAATTTTCGCTTCTAAAGCCTTGATGAGGAGTACAGGGATATGAAAAAACTTATTTCTGATATGAATATGAGATATTTATAGATTTTTATAGAGTGTCGTATAACAATCAAACCTGAATACTCGCAATAAAAAATTGAAAAACAATAATTAAAATAACAAACCTATTTCCTGCCATTTCATATTCATACTCCTCCTCTTTAGGGATCCGGAGGTACAAAAAAATTTCTATTTATAAAAAAAGTCATTTATACCAGTCGATCAAGGACGCTGTGCTGATTACTAGTGCATAAGATTTTTTATTAGGATCGTTGAGTATTATTAAAACATCATCAATATCCTGGTTCAGGATGGATCATCAAATCTGGCAGGACCCCTATGGGGAAAGTAGACTATAAACACAAGTCTTCATTTTGATAAAACTACCGCTCAAATGATTCAAACTTTATGCAAAGATATAATACTTGTATGAGTTTTTTTCTCTGGAGATAAAAAAAGTTTTGATCATTACTGTACATCTATAACAAAAATCAGAACGTGTACATAAAAAAATGCTTAAAAGTCGCAAAACTTAGAAGAATAATTTGATTTAATTTTTATATTCATAAATCGTATCTGGTGTCAACAGTCATTCTTTCTAGTTTACAGCGAGTCGTGATCTTTTTTCTTGAATAATATTTATTTTTGACGACAGTTAGATAAAGACAAAAATAAATAAAAATGATAAGATTATTAACCAAGACGAAGACACCTATGTTCTTAATCAATCGATTCCGTTCAATGAAACAGTCACATAAATGTGTATTTGCATTTAACTATATTTGTAACAAAATAGATACTTTTATTATATTTTGTGATTGCTCTAATGTTTGTTTAATTTTCTTGAGTTTTAATTTCTCTACTGTAACATTTATGTTCAGTAGTTTTCATTCAGAAAAAAAAAGAAATCAATTATCACAATAATTATATATGTTGTGGAAAAACTAATGCAGTCAACATAGACACAGAATATGTGACTATTTTAATATCTGTGGTCTGCCTGATACAATGTTTCAATCACAGTCATGACTTTTAAAAAAAACATTGGCCACAATTGCGATAGTCACGCTAGGTGCTAGTCAATATACTATCAAATAGTAGATTTTTTTACATAGAAAATTGATCATTTTTAGATTATACACATTTTTATTTCCGATCTTTTCTATTATTAATAAATTCAAAAATGAACTATATAGATATTCAACATGATTATATCCTTTATGAGAGATGTCTATTACTATTAGATTAAATGTCTATTCTATTTTCGATTTTTTTAATTATTTAATTTATTAAATAGAAAATCTCAGGAGTAATTTCACTAGAATATATTTGTTGGAAGTATTTAATGGATTTTAATTCTTCGATTGAATTGCATGTAAAAATGAGTTCAATAAAATTCATCAATATTAAACGAAATAAAAACTAGATTGATGTATTTTTTATTACAACATTCTCAATTATAAATTCAACATTGAATACATTTTTTTAACATTAAGATTTAATTCAAAACAAAAAAACTCTTTATTTGAATATAAAAAAAAATTCTTTTAATTTTTAAAACTATGACTAGCTTAGAATGAAATTTCTACTTATGATCTGCAATTATTTTATTAGAGAAAAATAATGAAAAAGCTTACATGAATTTTTTCTCGCCAAATTTGAAACATCCATCCACCGGCAACTAATATAACATCTTTAAAAAATGGTGAACGTTTAAGTGCAACAACAGGACCATCAACAACAATAGTTGACCAAGCTGCTTTTGGAGCTGAAATAAATTGATTTAACTACTCAATTAATTCTTTATTATTTCTCAAAAAGTAAATCATACTAAAAAATTTCGTTGAATCTTGATCTTTTTGTGGCATCCAATCTTGATAAACTAATTGACCGTCCTATAATTATATAAAAACAAAAAAAAGAAAGTAGAAATCATAATTGATAAATTCTCTTATCAATAAAAATATTTCAATTTCATAAATGAGTTTTTATTCTTTCATATTCATTTGCTTAAAATGTTTGGTTAATTACAGAAAAAAAAATAAAAAAAGAAGAACATTTGTATCCGGCATTTGATAATAACAGGAAATCATCTATGAAAAAACCTATAAATTATTATGAAGTGATGCTTTTTTTTCTTTAGTTGTTGACGTAGGAATATTACACACACATTCGTTTACTTCAAAAATTATTGAAATAAGTATTCAAAAAGAAGAACACGATGTTTTCAAAATCAATCGGTTTATTTTTCTTATTTACAATATGTTTCTCAATCATCATCAATGCTATGACAAATCAAAATCATATGGATGAAACAAATGAAATTCATCATCCACATATTGTTGAACAACTTCGAATGTTACTGGCTTCAAAACGTGGAAATATGTTTTTAAAAGATCATCCGAAATTTGATCCTATATTCCATCGTCGTCCAGGATTAATTCGTTTAAAATAAAATTATTGTCCTGTATGTTCTATTTATTTTATTATCATAAAATAAATTCCTAATTTAATATTAACATACCTCAGTACCAATATAAAAGAATGTATCAACATTTTGAAGAACTTTTGCTTTTGCTTGTGATAAAGTTTTATTTGGATCATCAAGTGGATTAACAAATTGACCAAGACTAGTATCTTTTTTCTTTTCAAATAATTCTTTGTCTTCTTGATTTACTACAAAACAAAAAAATAACAGTACTAGTTTGATTTTTCTTTTTGTATACATACAAACATCTCGATCACCTTGAGTTTCACGTATTGAAAATTTTCGTGGAGCAAACTCAACTGTACCAGTTTCAGGACTTTGTAATGTTACCTTTATAAACATTATTTTTTTACAACTTCTTTCTAACGAGAGAACTATCCGAACAAATATCCGCTGTTTGAGCACATATTGAATTCACAAAGATGTCTCGATAAGACTAGAAAAATCCTGGAAGCGTTCGTGTCCATAGGTCTTCGGAACTGAGTTAAGACTGTTTTACTGAATTTTCGATCCAGCTTTAAGTATTTACCGAAAAATGAAATAACAATATTTTGATCCGAAATTTTACCGATGAACAAGTTGAATGACTAGTAGAATATTCTGAAAGTTTCAGTCGAAAAGAATGTTCCTTTGTCAAGATATTGAATTTCGAGAAAATGGTCGTTTGCTATAAAAATTGAGTTTACTTGAATACCTAAAGCTAGATCAAAAATTCAGTAAAACGATCATAACTCGGCTCTAGAGGCTCCTTTTTAGGATTTTTCTAGTCTTACTGGGTCTCACTTGTAAATCTAATATGCACTGAAACAATGGATTACAATTGAAGTAGTTCTCTCGTAAGTGAAAACTAAAAATTAAAAATTTTATCTATTTACACGAAGAAATGGTTTCCAAATAAGATCTAAATGTTTAAATGTTAATGGAACACCCATTGGATTAATAATTTCTCGTTCTTTTTTTGATAATGGTTTAACACCAGCACGTGGTACTCGTGTTTCCCAAAAAAGAACTTGACTATAAATAAAAATAATATTCTAATAAGAAAAAACAAAACAAAACCTATCAAAATATCTTTACTTATCAAATGCACATGTCATTATTTGAGAACAATTCATAGCAAGATTTTCTGTTGGTAAACCTTGTGCTGTTACCTGAAATTAATATTTATAAATATGTAAAAGAAATTATATTTTTTTTTTATACTTGATAATGATCAGGAATCCATTGAAGATCTGTAATAGGTTCTGAATGACCATGTTCAATACTTGACACAGCACAAAAACGAATATGTGGTGTTTGAAAAAAATTTTCATCTTCAAAGCCAGGCTAGATACAAAACAAAAAAATCGATTCTTTCTATTTTGTTATTTAAAATTCATTTATTTTATTTTTTTTTACAATAAATAAATCTTTATCACGATGATCACCACGTGGATTTCTAATACGTTCTTCATATTCTTTTATATCCCACATTACAATTTGTCCATTAACACAACCACCAGCTATAATATGTGGATCTGTAGGTGAAAATTGAAAACATTGAATATCATCTGGTGCTTCTAAATATAACTATACACAAGAAAAAAATATATATATAACGAATTGAAGGGATAATTAAATAAATACTTTTGGTTGAATTGGATCAACAAATGACCAAATAAGAATCAATGGTGGTGATGTATTTATTCGACTAAGATTATCTGTTCGTTCATCAAAACCTTGTCCAGCAGCAAGTGATACAGCAATAATACCTTTTATTATATAAAAATTTTGTTTTATTAAAAAAACAAAGAGAAAAAACAAAATACCTCGTAACGTTGGATGCCATTGAACACAAGTAACAATTTTATCTCGAGATTGTTTTATAGATGAAAATGATTGATATTCCTTTTTATAAAAAAAAAAAAAAAGGAATAGAAGAATTAAATTTTTACTTATGAATAAACATACTTTAAGATGTGAATCACCTGGACCACCTAAACCATCAAGATTACCACCAAGTTCATTCCAATCAATATAAAATGGATCATGAATAATATTTTGTTGAAGTGCTTCTTTAAATCTAAATTCGATTAAAATTATTATTATTTTATTTATTAGATATTATAAATTAATATATTACAAATCTTTCGAAGTTACAACCATATTTATTAATTCTGGATCTGTCATAGATTTAGCTTTTTCATCTTCAGTAAATGAACGTGCTTCATATTGAGTCCATTGATTTTTTGGATAACGCCAAATTGTTTGTGAAAAATTTTCACGATGTTCAGGTGCTGCCTATTTTATGTCAAAAATTCTTATTCAAAAAAAAACAAGAATTAATAAAACCTGAATAGCAAGATCAAGTTCCATTTTTCTTAAATCAAATTGTTTATCATCATATTGTTCAATGCTAATAAAATTTTTTTTACGATCAATATCAGGATCTACATCTTTAAATTTTTCATTTGGTGTTAATGTTGTTGATATACGAGTTGGAACTTTAATTTTAAAAGATTTCTATTCAATAAATTAAAATATATTTTTTTTTTGTTTGTTTATTTATTTCTTGATGTATTTTTCTTACAAGTGATCGATTAAGTATTAAACGTTCATTGTCAATTTCAACTTCACTTCCAAGTGATATCCATTTTTTCGGTACAGGTGGAACATATTGTTCAACTTCATCAGATTCTTGTATTGGTAATGTAACAGGTGGCTATAAAAATTTAATAATTTCAAATGCTTTAGTTCGCTTGAATGAGCCGATATTTTGATTATTGGTAAAAAATTATTTAAAGCATTTTTTTTTGTGTCATACAAAAAGGTTAATAAATACTACTGTCAAGTTACATTTTTGACTTTTGTATCCTCTATATCTTATAGAAGGAAGTTTTGAGAAATTCTTAATCTATGACGCTACAAGTGAAGATCTATCTACCCTAATAGTTTCATCATTTTTGATCGAGTCGTTCTTCGAAAACTTAGGAAAGTTCTTAAATAAGTCTTTACCACCAACCAAAAAATCAGCTCATTTGAGAGAATCGAAGTAAAGATACAAACAAAGTATTCGGTTGTGATAAATAGTGAAGGACTATTTCGAAAATTTTCTCTATTAATTCATTAAAATTAGTCTATTTTTTTTTCATAAAAATTCAAATAATTCTCATATGTGATAATTACAAACAATCGATTACTTACATTTTCAATAAATTTCTTTAATTTTGGATCAAAACATATAACTACAAAAGAATAAAAAAACAAAAATGATTAATAATAATATTTACAATAAATATTTTTATATACGAAAATTTTGTGAATAAAAATAATCATAATCATAAATAATAGCTATTTCATTTTCAGGATAATTCTAATAACAAAAAAAAAAAATCAATATATATAAGAATATAAATATTATGAAACCTGTATTTGTTGTTGAAATTCATAAAAATTTGATCCTTGTCCATTAGTTTGTATATCATTTAAAAGAATTTCTTTATCAATCATTTTTGCATTATTTTCTTGTGTTAAATCTTCATCAACACATAATTGCATTGCTTGTTGAGTTGCTGATGATATAAAAATTGTATGAATACCAGATGGTAAAACTACAAAGAAAAAAAACAAAAAAAAAACCGATTATAATCACATTTAACAATAACTTCATCTTTCTTACATTGAGCATTTTCTGCAATTTCTACTCGTTCTGTTGCTGATTTAACTGCTTAACAAAATATATACATTAAAATTAAAAATTTGAAGTTCTTTAAAGATTAATACCTGGTACTGGACTAGTTGCATTTTGTTTAAGAGTAGCTGAATTAAGTTTATCACGTGTTCCTGATGGTGAAGCAACACTTGCAGTACCTGATCGAGCAACTGGTGAACCAAGTTGAGAACCAGCAGTACTACGACGTTTACCACTACCTATTGGTGGTGTACCAGCTGGACCAATTGAACCTCGAGAATTTCTCGATTCACTTTCTTTTGAACCAGCTGATTTTGTTGGTGTTCGAGGTGCGCTCATTTTATATATTAATTTAATAAATATGAATAAAAATTTTCTTTTAATGAATTTCCTATCGCCATTATACTCAACATATACTATGACAACGATGAATCAAATGAATACAGATGTCGTCATATTTCGTTGATTTAAAATCATTTCTTTGTTTTATAAAGAAATTATGTTTTTTAAATGAAACGAATTGAATTGTCATATATATTCTAATGGATAGTATTAGTAATTCTGGTGTTAGTCTAATACTTAATCCTGATATTGCAAATGTAATAAATGATAATCAACATCAACATGATTTATCAACATGTGAAGAAGAATTTGAAAATCAAGAAGAAATTCAAAAAATGCTTGCTAATGCATTTGATAGTCAATCATTATCAAATACAGATAATGATGAAGATGCATTTGATGATGATGATGAAGAAGAAGAACAATTACCTATTCAAATGTATATTTTTTGTTTTATGTTTTAATTTAATCTATTAATTTCTTTTAGTTCAACAATTGAACATGTACCACAATCCGAAGATAATATTCGTCTTCAACAAGAAAATGAAACTTTACATCATCGTATAAGTGAATATGTATTAAATGAAGAAATTTATCGAAAAAATATATTAGAATATGAATATAAAATGAATGAATTAAATGAAAAATATGAACAAAAAATTTTTTTAATTCGTCTTGAATATGAAACAAAAATTGAACAATTAACTAATAAAACAAGTGAACAACAAATTGAAATGTTAACATTAAAACAAATGTATGAAACAATATTTGATGAAAAATGTCATGTTGATAAACAAATTAATAATATTCATTTAAATGAACAAAATCTTCAAGAAAAATTCGATCAATTACAAATAGAATATGAACAATTATTGAAATTAAATAAAAAACCATTAAAGATTAACATTCTTACACAAACAGTAAGAAAAATTATATTTGAATGTTTTTATGAAAAAAAAAAAAAAACTTTTCAATAGAACTTTCTTTACTATTAATTAAAGTTATAGACAAATTGCTTTGACATTGTTATAATAACTAAAAAATTTTAAGATTCTTTTTGTTTTCTCTTTATTTTTAGGAAATTAATAATGAAACTGAACAACAAATAGAAACATTAACAAAACAAAATATTCAATTAGTTGATGAATTAACACGAATTTCGAATCAATTAAATCTCTTACAAACTCATTATGATGAACGTGAACAATTCTTTTCTAATGAAAAAATTCAATATGAAAAACATATTAAAGAATTATCCAAACGTCCAACAATGACTTGTATTAAACTTCAAACAGTAAATTTGTCTTAGTTTAATGAATGATACAAAAATTCTGTATTAATTTTATTTTTAGTATAAAATGACAATAACTCGTCATGGATATTTCATAGTTTTCTTGTTAGAAAGAGTAAAGCTACGTAAAAATATTTATCGAATGCCGAAAAGTTCTCTGTACACTTCGGAAATTTAAAAGATAACTTCTATTTACTAAGAAAGTTCGTCTTATTTTCCGTTTTCTAGCGAAAAATACTCACAACTAATAAAAAAAGAAGATTTTTTTCCAGCAATCAAACTTAATGAAATTCCATATTTTATGCTCAATTCTAGTTTAGTGAACCTTCTACAAAAATATATTATATAAAACTTCATTGAACGTTATCGAAAGTAAATCAAGTTTTTAACAAAAACCTATTTTCTCATGGAACTTGTGATTTTGTAACTCGAATTTTTTCATATCACTAGAAAGCTCACGTCGTATTGATTACACTTACACATAACATATCTAAAAATTTCGAAAATCCAATGCAAAGCAAATCGATCAAATGCTTTATTCACATCTAATTTTGTGTAAAGTTGTAAACCACTTTTCAACTTTCAATAAGTATTTTTACACAGCTTTGCTCGTTCTAACACAAAAACTATCAAATTTTCACGACAAATTGTTGTTATGCTATACTGAAAACAAAATTAATACAGAACTTTTGCGATCATTCGTTATATTAATTTTCTAATGTATATTTTTTTTTTGTTAGGATTTTATTGATGATGATAAAAAAATAAAACAATTACAAAATGAAATTGATGATTATAAATTAAAATTAAATAGTAAACAAATCGAAATAAATAGTTTAAAATTTGATATAAATAATTTAAAACAAGATATGAATGATCGTTTATCATTATTAACAATAAATATATCAAATGAAAAATTAAATAAAATTTTATTTGAACGTGATCAATATTTAAATGAATTAAATCAATTAAAAAATGAATTACCAAATTTAAAACAACAAATGATTGATAGTTTTCAAACAAAAGTTATTACATTTAAAGAACAAGTTAAAAAATCTTTAATTGAAAAAGAAAATGATTATAAAAAGAAAATTGAACAAATTGAAAATGAATATATTTCTCAATATGAACAAGTTTTAGAAAAAAATAAACAAATTGTACGTTCATTAATTACATCTAAACAAGAAGAATTTAATACAGAAAAAGTAAAATAAATATTTTAATTTTTTTTTTTTTTTTGTATCATATTTATTTGTTTTATTTAGACGAAAATAATTTCAGAATATGAAGAAAAATTAAAAATACTTCAAGCACAACAGGTAAATCAATGATGAGAAAATTATATTTTTGAGTTCAATTCAACACTAAGAAATAAATTATTAGTATTGGAAATCAATTTGATTTAATAGATATCATCTTATTCATAATTTTTTGTAAAAAAAAACAATACAAAATTTTAAGCGCTATAGAAGCTTCGAAATCCTTCTACTCTTAAAAGAGTTTTTAAATGTTATGTTTCTTAGATAGTTTGATACTTCCCAGTCTCCTCCCTTCAACAGTGAAAATCATGGCTCTCTTTCCTGTTTCTATCAAAAGTTATGCGCAATCAAAAACTCCCTGCTGACTTTTGGATCACCCTACATATAAAGAGAGAAAGAGTTCAGCAGCATAAAACTAAGTTACAAATTCATTAAATGATATCAACTTTTCAAACTAATCTTCATTATTATTAATTTATTAATTTTTTTAAGTTGAACCGACCTAAGAATTTCACTTGTAAAGTATTAAACTCAGATTCATAGTAGCATTACATATTAAAATAATGTGTAATAAATATCGATAGAAAAAAAAAAAGAGATAAACTGTAAGAGTAATAATTTGTGAACTTTTTCAAGAATAAAAATGATTATTAAGAGAAAAAAAGTTCTGTGTTGATTGATATTCAACAATAATCAATCTCATATTACTCTTTCATATGTGAATAATAAAGGTCATAAATTAATTCACAGTTTTGAACAAAATATCAATTTAGAAAGAACAAACGGAGACTAACTAGATAATGTCATTTATGAGTATGTTGTCTATGACCTTTAGAAGAACAAAAGTTCAATTCAAAGCAAAATCATTGAATCATGTGTTATATTAGCATACAAAATAATATTGTTGTTTGAAAACATTCGACCTTTTCCAACGATATGCCCTATTTCAGAGTATCTTTCAATATAAACTTTCCTTGATGAATAGTTAGAAAAAAAACAACATATTATTGAATATCCAATTAAATCCAATATAAACTTCTCTTTCTATTCTTCATCTGTACTATTTTAATTATATATACAAATTGATCTAATGGCCTCGAAAAAGTAAGATTTCGTAGAGCTCAATGAGATTAAGAAAAATTAAAATTACTATTTATCATAAATTTCTCTTCCCTAGTTCTAATCAAATTTTTGTTTTCTTTTTGAGATATATAATATCGGGAAAAAAAAATCTCTTCATAAGAAAATAATTGTCGGTTGATAGTGTACAATATTACTTTCTCTACATATCTTATTATAAATTTGATTTATTTCAGTAAAATAATTATAACTTAGAAAGAAAATCTTTGTGAAATTTTATTCACTCTTATAGAAAACAAATAACAAAGCTCTCTATGACTCAATTGATAGTCCTTGTAAATCATTTTGTTGTTTTTCATTATTGAAAATTTAGTTACCAAATGATGAACGACGTATGTTTGGACAAAAAATCGAAGAATTAACTCGTGCTAATGATAAATGTAGTCAATATATAGTAAAACGTGAACAAGAACATCGTCAACGTGAAAAAACATCTTTAAATTTTCAACAATTTGATGAAACAAAACGAAAATATAATGATGAAATTCATCGACTTTATGATCAAGTATTACGTTTTAAATATTTTCATATGAAAATAATCTTTTCTATTTTTTTTTTGTTTCTATTGATTTTATTTTAAGATAGCTAAACAAAATCAACAACAAATGCTTTTAATTGATGAACATCAAAAACAAATTGAACAATTAAAAAATACATATGATCAACGTTATCGTATACTTTTAGATGAATGGAAAATATATAATAATGATTTACATGATAATAATACAAAACTTAAAACAAAATTAAAAGAATATGAAAAAACTATTGTACAATTACGTTATCATATTATTAATTTGCAAATTGAATATTTGCAAAATGGTGGAAATTCAAATAAACTTCTTCAATTAACAAATGAAATTAAATAATAGTTCTCTAGTCACATATATATGTATTCTTTTCTTTTCTTTTTTTGTTCTTCTGTGTTTCTTTATATAATAAATGATTTTTTTTTTCTTTTTATAAATGAATAATTGTTGATACAAGTTTACGATATTGAATACGACCATTTTTTGTTCGAGCATCAGTTGCTTTAATCATATCATCAACAGAATCTTTTGATAATTGTTCACCTGTTTGTTGCATTAAAAAACGAAAATCATTTTCAGATATGGTTTCTATGTGAAGAAACAGAAAGAGAAAAAGAATAAAAAAAAAAACATTTAGTAAATATATTTTTTACCATCATTTTGTGTATCAAATAATTTTAAAGCAGATAATATTGTTTGAGTTTGTTTTGTCACATTTGGTTGTTCCGTAGCAGCAATTATTTGTAATAATTGAGGAAAATTAATGTGACCTGTTTTATCAGAATCAAATTTCTTCATTAAATCATTTATTTCATTATTACTAATAGAATATTGCATAGCTCGAAGACATAAAGCAAGTTCTGAACGTGTTATTGAACCATCACCATCATCATCAACCATTGAAAAAATTTCTTTCATTTCATTGATACGTTCTTCAGTAAGCGACATTATTTATCTGAATACAAAATTGAGAATAAAGACTTGTTCAAAAAAGAAAAAAAGAAACGTGACCGCGCTCTGTTCTTTTTCTCTCGGTCTCTCTTTCATTTTCACTCCAAAAAAAAAAAAAAGAGAAAAATGGACGGCGTCTCTCGCCGTTCTGTCTCATTTATTTGCTTTGGAGAAGAAATACAGAAAGAAAGAAAAAAGTCACTTCTTATTTCTTCTTTCTGATCATGACCTTCGTTTTTTGTTTTAGTCATTCAAAAACAGAAAATATACAAGTCAATCGATAAAAAAATGAATAACGTCAAAAAAAAGGAGTCTGTTGTTTTTTTTATAGAACACTTATGTTTTATAGTTATTCGATATGATATTAGAAAGCAAATAATATTTTTTTACGAACATACGCATAAAATAGAAATTATATTATTGTAAACTTTATATATGCAATTAAAATCTCTGATTCTTTTTTTTTTTTTGAATATCTTTCGATCATTTATAATTATCGAGGTCAAGTTTTCGCTATTAAATAGACCAATAGTGGAGACACCTATTTGTATAACATTCATTAGGTCGAAGAAGTTCTTCATTGATATTTGTAGGTAGATATCTTTTTCATTGTCCATCTCTACAACTTTTCGTAACAATCTAGGCTGAAATTACACCAAAATGTAATCAGAAGAGTGCTGTATTTCCAATATAGTTCTTCGATATTTTCATCTATGTCCTGTAATCTGGGGATTTTATGAGAAATACGGCTCTCTTTGATTTAAATTTTAATATAATTTGAGCCTGGATTGCTACGAAAAGTTGTACACATGAATAACGACAAACATGTCCATTTGAAAATATTCATGATGGAACTTCTTCGAACCTAATGAATGTTACACAAATAGGCGTCTCCACTATTGTTCTATCTAATAGAAAAAAACTCGATCTCGATAGCTATGAATGATGGAAAGTTATTCAAAAACAATGATGATCAGTATTGTAATAAAAATCCGACAATAATATCAGATATTGACGCTTTAAATGAATTGTCAATGTGTTGAAAACTTCACTTGAATATAATGACTGATTATGATTCTCAAAAATTTACATTCGTAAAATTTTACTGACAAAACTTTGTTTTTTGTTGAGCACCGTCACATGTTATTATTGATAATATCTATTCTACATTGTTCAATGTTATCTGATAAAGTCAAAAGTACAACAAAAAAAAAACAACGTTGATCATTTGTGTCAAACATTCCTTAGCCTTCACTATCTGCTTCTCAATTATATTAACTAATAGAAATTATATGTTGCTAAAAATAGAAGTACATGAAATGTAATGAACTCTTTCTTTTAAATTGACACTATTTAACGTTAATCAATATTTTAAATGATGTAACAATAAATTAATCAAACGAAACAATCAAATAAATGAACGAATGTAAGCACAACAAATACAAATGGCCTATTGAACATAATTTATCGAGCATAAAATTCAAATAGTTTCCCATACAATGAATAAAATATATCTATACATCGGATTGTGTTTAACTCATTTATCAAAATTATATCTTTTATAATGAACAGGCAACGGAAATAGACTTTCCTTTGAAATAAAAAATTTGCCTTGTCATTAAGTCATTTGATAATAATCATATTATCGCATTGAGAAACAAACAAATTAGAAGTAAAAAGTCTTTTATCATCATTCAAAAGAAAGAAAATAATAATTTTGATATTTATTCACTTTGTTTTAAGCTATAATTTAATTTAAAATAGATATATAATAACTATTCATGTATGCAAATAAATATATTCAAAAAAATTCTATAGATGTTTAGATTAAATTAATACCTTTTCATAATTCATATTTGAACTTCCTCATGAATATCTAATCGATTGATACTGCCCCCTATCCTATCCTTTGCTTTGTTCGTTTCCTCTCTCGAATAAGTATTGTTCCTATTAGTTAGTTTGTTTATTGTTTGTTTCAATCAATGATCAGATCGATATATATTGATAACTAAACAATATAAAATTTTTCTTTTTTTTTAAAGATTTTGAGTGAAAAAAAAATGAATTTAGATAATGATAAAGAACTCAATGATCTCCTCGATCTCAACGCCGTAAGTGTTTATATACTTTTTTATATCATATTCTTTTTTTCTTAAATAAAAATCAAACGAAAAAAAAAAAAAATTTCGATTTTGTTTTTTTGTTGATTCTCTCAGGTGAAACATCGAACACGTTTTTCAAATAGTGCTATCAGTACATCAGCATTATCTCGACTTCCTCTTCCGGTACATTTATTTTAATGTATTTATTATTTGCATGTTTTTTAATTAGAAAACAATAAAATATTATTTTGTTTTTATTTTTGTTTTTATAATTAATCTTTCGTTGATGTTTTTTTTTTTATTTAGATGTTATGCTCAACTGCTGCTTATCGAACTGGAACTCATCTTCCACCAACAAATACTGAATCAATTTATACAACGAATAGTACTAATTCAACTAAAGGTTTGGTTTTTTTTTTTTATTAATTTATTTATTCAATATAATTTTTATAGATTATTGGATACCATCCACAACATATGATGAAACGGTTTGTATAATTAACAAAAACAATAGTTTATTTAAGTTAATATTTGATTTTTAGATTTATGAAGGGAATTATAGTAATCGTGATATTCTTCATCCATTTATAACATCCGAACCATTGAGTATGATTGAATAATAAAAATGTATTGATTAAAATTGAAAAAAAATTTTTTTTTAGATCAATCTAGTGAATATTCCTCATCAAATTCAGTAAAATAATTTTCTTTTGAAAAATAAAACTATGTCAAAAATATTTTTATTATTATAGACATCTCGTACATCAACAACTGATTTGACATATTCCGGTAGGAAATTTTTCTTTGTTTCTATTTTATCATAAATTTTTATTTATTTATAGAAAAACTTAATGAAAAAACTCGTCGACCGACAAATGTAAGTAATGACTTTCTTGTTTTTTCAATTGTCATAAAAAAAAAGAAAAAAACGTTTTCACCACTCTTTATAATTATTTAAACATTTACTTAAATTAGTGACGAATTAGATATTTATTGCTTTTCTTATACATGTGAACGATCTGGATAAGATCAAGCGAACACATACACATCGCTCATTCTTTCCCATTCTCATTTAAAAAAAAAAAAAAAAAAAAAATTCGCTCGTCCGAATTGAACGCACCCAAAATATATAGAGAGAAAAGAGAAGAGAGAAAAAAGAATGAGAGTCATAGTGGTGCCTTATTGATCATCGAACACATACATATACATTCGTCGGGCATCGTTGAAGACAATACTAGCAATGACCTTGCTTCATTATGAACCATATTTGGTAAAAAAAAAAAAAAAAAAAGATTTTTGTTTTTCTTGTAAATATACATATATCTTAATTTGCGACATTGAATGTTGACGTGTGAGTAATTGATATAATTATTTGCTGTCGCTGTTTCTGACATAACGACATCTTTTTCTCTTTTTTTTTTTTATGTCAGCAGACAACTTTGTTAATTTACTCGATGAAGAAAATCGTATCGATCTTTTTTTGCAAAATTGCAAAGAAAGAAACTCACGGTTCACTTGTGACATCATTTTTAGTTTTGTGCATCAGCTGGATAAGAGTGTCAAGAATTCTAAAGACAATGAGAAATTCATTTTCATCTATGTTATTCATATATATATATATATAGAGAGAGAGAGATATATGATTATATATATGTATTGGCTGACCGAACTTGTATATGTGATAAAATTAATAGTCGTGTTTATCTACATTCGATGGCACACGAACGAGCTTTCCAGCTGCGCTGTGAGCTTTTTTTCCTCCTCTGTAAACATAATATATGCATTTAGCGATGAATGTACAAAAAAAGGACAAACAATGTAATAAACGTTTTCTCTTGTCGTGAGATATGATAATAGATATTCGATTGTTAGGATTGCTTGTTTCCGACGATGATAAATGAGTAAAACAAAAAAAAAAAAAAAAAGAAAAAGAAAATAAGATGCGTTAATCGACTTTTGGATGTGTGTGTATATGTATATACAACAGAAGAAACAAGCTTGTATAATTATTCGTTGATATAAACATGTATATTGAAAAAAAAAAAGTCTAATGAGATATGTAGCTTAAGGAATAAGCAAAATTAATATAAGAAAAAATCTTCGTTCTTTCTAATTGTATTCCTTAGAATATAATTGTTTATCTGTAGTTACTAGATTTATTCATTCGCCCGGACGAGCCCGATTCCTGTTCGAGATACAAGCCTTTTGTCTTTATATATTTATTATTTTACCTTCTTGCTTTGTCCCTCTCTCTCTCTCTTACTGTGTCTTCCGCTGTAAATAAAAAAAAGAGAGGAAGAAAGCAAAAGAGAGAGAGAGAGAGAGATGTGATAATTTTTTTTCTATGTGTGTGTGTGTGCGTCTCATTTCTCTCTTTCCTGTCCGTATGCCCGCCTCTAGTTAACACATCGTAAGATAAGGATATCTTGCTGTTCCAGTGAAAGGTCTCCTACATCGATTGACTCGCTTCTTTTCTTTTTTTTTCTTTTTCGATGTATATCACTTTTTTCTTCTTTTTCTATCTTATGAAGTAATGGCATACGTCTATTGAATAAACGAGTTTATTTGACACAATAATTAGAAGTCAATTAAAAATTTGTTTTTTTTCTTAACACGACAAACTGTGATGAAATAATTCTTCTTTTTTTCTCAATATATATAATACATGTTCTACTATTCACGACCATCATATCAGGTATTTGGCTTCATTTTTTGTTTTTTTTTTTGAATGATCTTAAGAAACGAAAAGATCTTTTGGATTAAAGTTGTCTCCTCGAAAATAAAGATTTTGTTTTTTTTTGTTTTTTGATCGAAAAGAGAAAAGATAATGCTAATCAACACATTTACGTTTACTCAATGAAGTCGATCTGAATGTCAGCATGAATTGCGATCGCACGTCCTTTGATCTCGTGTTGAGTGAGCACAAACAAACAAACGAACCTTTTTCTCTTGATTAGCCAACATAGAAATCAGTGGGTGATCGAAGATTTTTATTTTTTTATAAATTGATACGTCGTCAGTCTGAGACTGTTGATGAGCAAACGTATATCACACATTTTCTTTTCCCTTTTATGATGAGGTCATTATCAAAACTTCGTTCTATGTATATATTTATAGAACGATGTTTACTATTGGCAAATGTGTATTATTCTATGTGTCCATTGGAAAGAAAGATAATAATCAAGGATTGCTTGAGAAAAAAATAATTTGAATTGATTTAGTTGGTATGGAATCTATATATATATATGTATATATGTAATGAAGAAAGTACTTGTGGGATTTATTATAAAGTATTTACACATGAGATCAATCAAAATAAGTTAGATGTTAATATGTTATAGACATTTGTTGTCGATTGCTTATACAATCGCTGTTTTTTTTTGTCTTTTATATTAGGTTTATACTTCGGAGGATTATAATCCAGAAAATCCTAGTCGATATTCAACAGGAAAATCAGTCTATGGAAATGAATCCGCTTATTATATTGGTAAGTAAAACTAAAACAAAAAAAAAAGCAAAAGATGAGCTTTTTGTTATTATCATTTTTCTTTTTCTTGATTAGATAGTCAAAGTGGTAATCCATGGTTAGGACCAACATCAAATTATCTACCAAATGACCTTGTTAATAATCATGGTACATATAATGATGCCAATGGAACATGTTTACCATCAATGGCAAGTTTTCGACCTCAACAACAAACATCATATACGAGTAATGGCAATGATCAAACAGTACAAACTGGAGAAGCACTTGGCAAAGCATTACAATCAGTATGAAATTAAATAGAAATTATAATTAGTTGAAAATTAAATAACTTATCTTTTTAGATTTATCCTAGCGAACATCCTTATTCTTCAACATCATCAACACCTGTTGCATCACCACCAGTAAATGGTATATTAAATAGAAAGATAGAAAAAAAGAGTTCTCTTTTTGTTCAATATATTTTTATCTTGTATTTATTTTAGGATCTAGTCAAGCATGGATAAATGCAACGCAAACATATCATCATCTTGTAAGTATTTTGTTTTCTGTTAACTATTAACTAAAAGGAAAAAAAGATTTTAACAAATTAATAATTATTTTAATTCTAATCTCAGACATCTTTAATCGATCTATCTGATGACTCTTATTATTTACTCAATTTAAATGAGGTTTGTATTTTTGTTTGTATTTATTCTGGGAGATGGGAATATATATTATATTTCTTTATAATTTATTTTTTCTTAAATTAATTCAAAATAAAACAAAAACAAAATAGATATCCAAAATTTCTCTTTTTAGCCACCAAGATTAGATGTTGATGATTCTTTTCGACAAGCTGATTATCATCATTATTATACTGGTTATCATCATCCACATTCCACGGGAGCATATTCAGCATTTTTAAATCATCCAACAACATCGGATACAGTAACACGAAATCGACATCATGATCCTTATTTACCATGTAAAATAAACAAAAAAAAATGATTCTTTCTAATAAATCATGTTTTTATTTTTTTGAAGATGCTAATCCTCCATCTGTATCATCATCAACATCATCAAATGATGCTAATATAGCATCATTAAATTCTGATTTAAAACTTGAACGTCTTGAGAAAGTTAAAAATGATGTTGAAAATAAACCACCATCAACAACAACAACAACAACAAATAGTACATCACAATTAACAACAGAAAAATTAAATGAATTTAATCTTCGACATGATATAACATTAGAGAATGCAACACCATTAACAATAGCAGTTGGTGGTCCAAATGGAACACATATGGGTCCAACATCATCATCATCATCATCAACAAAGTTACGAAAGTAATTTAAATAAAATTTTCTTTTTTGAATCAAAAAAATATAAAATCATTTTCTTTTTTGTTAAGTTCATTAACATTAAGTCCAAATAGTCATTTAAATTTATCATGTATGCGTGGTGGACCAGGATCAGAAGGTAGTATTATTGATCCTGATGAAACACCTGAAGAACGTGAACGACGTGAAAAAGATCGAAGAGCAGCAAATAATGCACGAGAAAGGTAGGAGTAAAAAAAATAAAACAAATTTTTCAACGAAAAATTTTGTTTCGTTTCTTCTATAGATTACGTGTAAGAGATATAAATGATGCATTTAAAGAACTTGGTCGTATGTGTTCAATACATATGCGAAATGATAAACCAGTTACTAAATTAGGTGTACTTCAACAAGCAGTTAATTTAATAACAACACTTGAACAACAAGTTCGAGGTAAAGAAAAAAAAATTAGTGATTTAATTTAAAAATGATTTTATTGTAGAACGTAATTTAAATCCAAAAGCTGCATGTTTACGTCGACGTGCTGAAGAAAAAACTGATGATCATAATGGTAATATGAATTTAATGACATCACAAGGTCCTATGTTATTACCAACTGAATCTTCATCAATTGATGGATCGAATTTTATGGAACAAATGCATCAATCAATACCACCATCTTATTGGCAACAATGAATAAATTTTATGATTTTTTGCAGCTATGGCTTGTTTATCAGTGCCTTTGTCTTTACCCCCTTTTCTTTTTGTCTCATATACATACATGACCAATACAATTTTTTTTTTTGGTTTTGTTTTTTAGTATTTGCCTGTATTTTTTTTTCTGTATAAACATATGATGATGATGATGATGTGCAACTATAAATGAATATTGAGATAGAACAAGACAGTATTTTTTCTTTTTTGTGTTTTCTGATTGTGCATATAATACATCTCGTTTTTCTTGTGCAATCTCGTTTGGATGAGCCAGCAATACATTGTATGATTGATTTTTGTTTTCTTTTTTTCTTTCTTGTTATTTGTCAAATGTCTCAAATGTATTGTTCTTATTGTTGTTAATGCATTATTTTTACTAATTGGGATTGACATGATGTATAAATATCTTAGATTGACTATTGAATCTTCTTTTTTTCTTTTTTTTTTCTGGTTTGTACAAAATGTTTCTTTCAATTATATGCACGTCTAGTAGAAAATCATGTTCTCATTGTTTTCTCTTTTCGTACATAGATCTGTTAACAATTTTCGCTTGTTTGTTTTCTTTATTCTCTTTACTGTTTGGCATCTCTCTTTTTGTTTTTTGAATTTTTCTTTGTTTATTTCTCAATTGTCGTGCTTGCTTTTGAGTATTTCTTTTCTTATCCTTATTGCCAAATATACATTAAGGAAAAGTGTACACGTTTAAATATATAAGAAAAAAAAAAACAAAGAATCAGATTTGATTTTCTTTTTTGTCTTTGATGAATAGAGTAGGAAAGAAATAATAAGCAAAATGTTGATTATACTATTGTATATTGATGATTTATTAAAGGATTTTCATTGTTTTTTTTTGTATTCTAAAGATTTTTTTCAATTTGGAGATGTCGATTCAATTTGTTTTCTCGATTTCTATTAGAATATAAAAATTTAGATCATTTATAATTTTTTTTGATGAACTACTATTAACATGGTTGAAATGATAAAATAATGTGAAGATTGCTTTAGTAATGAAAATCTTAAAAATATAATGAATTTATTCACCAAAATATTGACTTTATCTTTAGTTCGACATTGATCTATCTCTTTCGCTTTCTGAATGATTTCTTAAGGAGATTTAACATGTTTTATCCGTTAATGAAAGAGAAAAACCGTAATGCATCTTGAAAATATGAGATTTTTGTGTGATTGTCTTACCTTAACTTTAAAAAAACCTTTTTTTCTAACGAACCATATATTATTCTCATTGGACGAAATACATAATCAAACATGAGAATTTACTCAAGTGATTTTTACGAATTTTATATTAAAAATGTCAAAGAGAAGTTTCTATCAAACTGTCACTATTAGAAAAAGTACGTATTTGGATCTATTGAGTACTTCTAAGGTTTTTTTTGTTCTCTCTTTTTCATTCATAAATTTAAGTGATCTACTTGAAGGTAAATTTAAATGTTTGATATCGAACGAAAACAAAAAATGATATTTCAATGTGTATCTTGACTATAATATTATTCGAAAATAAAATAAAGCTTGCTTAGTAAATTAACATAAAATAATTAGCGTCTTTTTGTTGTTCGTGTAGGTGATTTTGTTGTTGATTGTCGTTGTCGTTTTTTATTAGTAGTAGTTGATGATTGTAAATCTCGTCGTGAACCATAATTAAGTATACGTTCAAGTACAAAATTTTCGTTTGCAAATTCATCTTTTTTTTTCATTAAAAGCCATTGATTTGCTCGTTGTTTTGATCCAAATCGTGATCGAATCATATGAAATTGGCCTTTCAATTTTTTTCCATTAAGTATAAATGTTAATTTTCCTTGTTCTATTCCTGTATCAATATTACTATCATTCAATAGTTCATACGTTCCAATATCCCATGTTCGTACTTCACCTATCACAAGAAACAAAAAAAAGAGTACATAAATATAAAATATTTTTTCAAATAAAATACAACCTGCACCATATTCTCCTTCTGGTATTTTTCCTTCAAAATTCATATATGGTATCGGATGATCTTCTACCATAATTGCTAAACGTTTATCACGAGGATTAAGACTTGGTCCTTTTGGTATTGACCTGTTTAATGAATAATTTTCTTTTTTTTTTTCTATTATTTTTGACATATTTGTATACCTACCAACTAGGAAAGAATAGAAAAACAATAATAAGAGATAGAAGAAATTTTTTTTGTTTTGTTTTTGTTAAATATTAAATCTACCTTTTCATTACACCATTATATTCAAGTCGAAAATCAAAATGAAGTATTGAAGCATGATGTTCTTGAACAACAAATCGATATTCATTCGTACTTTTATCATCATATGTTGGTTTTGGTTCATGAGTTTTTTTAAAATCACGTTTTTTTTCATATTCTACAAGTGAATTTTTAGATGGCATTTTGTTTTGCTACATAAAATAAAATAAAATAAAAAACTTCTTTAATAATCCTAAAATTCTTCAAACACATACATCAAATCGAGAAATTGTTAAATAAAAATATCTTTTCAATAATAATCTTTCAGTATATAAATTAATTAATTTCGATGATATCATAAAATATTAATCTGATTAAAAGAAAACAGAAGGTTTTATTTTATTATTTTCTAATTTCAATAAAATGTAAAAAAAAAAAACAACAACAACAACAACAACATCAGGAAGCATGTTTACAGATTATCATATGAAGGAGAAAGAGAAAAACTCAAAGATCTAAATACACAAAACAATAAAACGAATTATTTATTTGAATTTCGTTTTGTTTTCATTGTCACTGTGTAATAAAAGCAAAAGAAAGTAAAGAGAGAAAAAAAATATATCTGACATATATACATTAAGATTATATTATTAAAACTCGATTATCATGCATAAGGATTCGTTTTTTGTCTTGGTTTAATTTTTTCTGATTGTATCCATTGAGCATCTTCATTCATATAATCATCAAAATTGTTAAAAAAATACAATATACGATCATTACGAATAAATTTATACTCCCTAAAAGATCAAAAAATTATTTATTTATTTATTTTTTTTGTTTTTATCAATAATAAAAAAACCCAAATAAACAAACCATTTACGACAATAACGTAATTTATGTAAGATAGTAAATTGTTGCCATCGTTTCCAAAAATTAATTGTTCGACCATCTTGTAAATGATCTGAATTACCAATATGAACAAATGTTAAATCAGATAGAATTAATCCACTTAAAAAGACAAAAAATAAAAACAAATATGAATCATTTTTTTTTGTGAAAATATTATTCTATTAATTATTTACATATAAGGAATACATGGTTGTCCAACTGATGCATTTAATGCTTCACGATAATTTTTAAATGAACCAGTACTATCAATAAGTCCAGTATGTTCAGATATAGACTAAATTAAATAGATTTAAATTAAGAAAATATACAAAAAAAAAACATTCTTACATCAATGATACTCTTCGACCAATTTAATCGTTTTAATGGACCACAATCAAGAGCTGAGAGAATAGCCAAATATGAATTGAAATTATTTAATCGTCGTAGATGCTAGATAAATAGATCATTTTTTCAAAATATTACAATATAATTCTAAGATTTATTATTTTAAAGTTTCTACTACAAAACTCAGTAGTCATTTTAACGACAAATACATATCGAATATAAAACAAATGATCAACATGAGTATTTCTATTACTGTGAAACACAATATGTCTAGATGTTTGGATTATGATACGATAAGATAGATAAATAATGACCTTGAAATATAAATATCAAAGATAATTATTTTAATTAAATGTTTTCATTGATATTAAATGTAAGTTTTTTTCATAATAATATCAACATCGTACTAAATGACTTTAAATATTATAGATTTATTCTATTATGAATGTTCCCATCATGTTATACATAATAGTTCAAAAGTATCTATTTCCGATTCGGTCCCATTTGATGATTTCATCGTTCAATCTCTTTCCAGTTCGTTCATGATTCATTAGATTAAAAGAAGATAAGTGAAGGCTTATCTTCATGATTAATCATTCAAGGATTCATTCTCGTATGATCATTGGTTGATTAGAATCAATATATAATAATACGGCTTAAACCAAATGACATGTCAGCGATCATTATTAAGATAAATATATTGAATAGAACAAGTGAACAACAGGTAACATGCATTTTACAACTACACATTGTAATGCATTTATACTTAACTATCAAAATTTACAATTATAAATTCAATGCAACAAAATCCGCAAATTCATTAAGAAGCAAAAACAAACAATTTAATTTTTTTCATTGTATATATATAAGGTGTCTGTGTGTTATAAATATTTGAAAATTACCTTTAATATTTTAAGAAATTTTTCAAAATAAATTTCACGTTGTCGTTGAGAATTTTGTTCAAGTATTCGAGATCGTACCCTATAAATATTACAAAAAAAATATATAGTTTTTTTCTTTTTTAATTTGTTAATCAATTTATGAATCATTACCAATAAGATATATTATTAAAATGTTCTGTGAATGCAGCTAAATTTGGTGAATATTCTTCACCTTTTTCAATAGACATATATAAAATTTCTGATAATTGAATTTTAAGAAATAATTCTGAATCAAGTAATGTTAATTGTTCACTTATATCAGTTGAATGAAAATCAAGTAATGTTGCTCGTTTTGATGATATTGAACTTTGTATAAGGACAATATCTTGTTGTGTATGTACATTATTTATTTGAAATTTATTAAAGCGTTCAAGTGATTTTTTTCGTAATAATTTTCCTAATTGAAGTTCACCATGACGTATTAGATTTGTAACAAAATATGAAAGACATTTCATTAAATTTTCAGTTAATTCATTACTAAATGAAACAAATTAAAATATATTTCATAAGAATAAAATGAAATTCATTTTTTTGTTTTTTTTTTTTACTCAATTTCATCAATAACACGAATAAGTAGCGAAAAAGCATATCGAGCAATTCGTTTTTTTGTTTCAAATTGTAAAAAAAATTGATAACGTTGAATAAGTTTATCAACTAAATCACTCGGAGATACAAATGTACGATATGTTGTTAAAAATGCTTCTTGATAAACAAAATCTAAAGAAATTTTTTTGTTTATTAATTTTATATAAACAAAAATTAATCAATAATATTTAACCTTTTTTATCAGGTGATGTTGCTCGAATAATTAATGCCTCTATAGAACCACCACGTAATGAAGGATCTTCATTCTAATTAAAATATTGATATAAAGCACGAAAAAACAAAAGAAAAGAATTATTTTTACTAGATTAAAAACAAGTAAATGAGATATATTTTCAAGAAAAAGTTCACTATGATAATTAATTTTTAATGTATTATCATAAAGATTAGATTCATTAATTTCTTCATTATCTTTTGACTAGAAATAAATAAGAATTGATTTGAAAAAAGCATAAAAAACGAATAATTAAAAATATTTCCTACAATTTCATTTAATTTATTAACATTTTTAATTGTTGTTCCTTTTATTCTTAATGAATCATTACTATTTGAAAGTATTTGCATATGTTGAAAATGTTGTTGAATTTGTTCAAATAAATCTTCAAAACGACGTTGTGGTGAAGGAATAAAACATGTATCACGAAGAAATAATTCAGCTTCATTTTGATCATACCGATCAAATAGGGACATATATGCTCGAGCTAAAACAAAATCATATTATTACTTTTAATTTTTTTCTCTTATAATAGATTTTTTTTAAAGAAGTTTATATAGAAGATAAACCTTAAGATTTTAATTCTAACAAAAAAAATACAATTTGACGACTGCTTTCGTTTTCAGTCTAACTAAAAGTAGTAAACTTCTTTTGAATATAAGACTGATAGTATTGTATTGAAAAATTCCCTCGAGTTAAAAATAAAAGTCAAAACTATTTCATCGGATTTTCTTATCTGATTTTGCTTTCTCTATTTCATTCTGATGGCATAGTTTTTGGTTTCATTCCTCTTCTGACTTGAGTAAAATCTCCCTATAGTGAACACCTATGAGACTTTTTAAAACTGTCCACTATCGAGGATTAGGTCTTTTCCAAAAGCTAAGTTTTTCGAAGAAGCAAGTGCGTTTTCTAAGGATTTGAAAGGTATTGGTGAATAAGATAACTGGCCAGTACTCATTGTTACTTCTCTTCTCATATACTTTTGTTCTTGAAAAAGAGAAAATTCAACAATTGTTAAAATACAGAAAAACTCTCTAGTTGACACTGTTTGAAACTTCTCAAAAATGTCCAATATCGTATGGTATCCACTATAGACAGATTCAATTCCAGCAAAAATCACTCCGCGGGACTGTAAAAAAGTATCCACTATGCAGAGATTCGATTCTAGCAAAACTCGCTCCGTCGGACTGCGGAGTGTCCACTATGGAAGGTTTTATTGCATGTTCATATCCAACAGAATTTATTTCAAAACACATAAAAAGAAATTTTTTTTTTTTTTGGTCATATAAACCTGTTTGCCGTTTTGGTGGTAATGGTGGTGGATCATTTATTGTTTTATCATTGTCATATGGATTAAGTTGATCTATTCGAGTAGTCATTATTGTTTTTTGTTGTTCATCATCATCATTTGATTTTTGTCGATTAACATATGTAAGTTTTTGTGTTTTAATATCACCTTTTGGTGAATGTATAGAACAATCAGTTTCATTATAAATTTGACATGATTCTTTTTTATCAATTATTCCTTGTCCATTATTAATTGTTGTTTTAGTTATTGTACTTTTCATTATTTTTGATACATGTGTTTCATATAATGTATCAATACTATTATGATGATAAGGTGATGTTAATATTGATGAACGATTTTGTTCTAATACATGATCAATAGATGAAGAACGACTTGTTGTTTTTGTACGTAATGCATCATCTAATTCACGTGTATATTTTTCAACAATATGATTAATATCATCAACAATTAATTGTATACGTTCATCATTATCTTTATCTTGTTTGATTTTATTTGATAATGAAGATGACAGAAAAGAATTTGTACTTCCATTATTTCGAGATCGATTACATGCAATTGTAGATGATGAAATTATTGGACGTTTATCTCGTTTTGGTGGTAAAGCTGGAGCTAAATCATCATTAGAACTAACAAATAAATATTCATGTTTATATATTCAAAGAAAAATAATAACGAAAAAAAAAAAAGTTGTTTTTACGCATTAGTTGATTGAAGATTTTGAGATGAATCAAAATGTGTTTCAACACTTTGCATTGAAGATGTATCACATGCATATGAAATACAATTCTTAAAGAAAGAAAAATATATATATATATTCGATTTTTATTGATTTTTTACTTTAATTGCTTGTGTAAGATCAAAAGCAATTTTTTTATATTCATCATCATCATTTATTTGAATTTTTGTATTATCATTATTATTATTATTATTATTATATTTTAATAAAAGTAATTTATCAGACCAATCAATTAAATCCGCTAAGAGAGAACAAACATCACTTAAAAGACGTGCTCTATAGAAAAATAAATATTAATAAAAAAAATAAATAAATTTGATTAGAAAAAAAAAACCTATTTTACCTAAATGCTTCTGATTCATGATCAAATATTCCTTTTAAAACACTATCAATATCAAATATATTTTCAATTAATGATGTAATAATATTTGGAAGAATTTCAATTTTATTATGTGTTAAAACTTGATCAAGATAATTTAATGATTTACATACTTCTTTTTCACTTTTATATAATCGTTCATAACATGTTGAAGATGACTAATAGAAGAAAAAAAAAAAAAGAATTATTTATTGATATTGTTATCTTATAAAGATCATACATACCGTTAGGGAACCATTACTTATAATAGAATTTCGATCATTTTTATCTTTTGATCTATTATTGTTTTTTTGATGGTCAATAGAAGAAGAATTTATTGTATCATTTTTACCATTATGTCGATGAACCATATCACCAATAACACGTCGAAGTGAATGTCGAGAAAAAGCCATTGTTTTAAATTTCTATTAAACATTTATTAACACTTGTACTCAATGAAGAAACAAAAAAGAAAATAATAGACAATAGACTTACTTATTTAACCTCGAATTTGTTCGAGTAATCCTATCGGCAATGCATTGATTTATTATCAATCGTCACACATACACATACACACATATATGCACAGGTCAATGATGTAAACTAGTAGTAGCAAGAACAAAAAAACAACATTGCCTCCCACCAATATTGATCAGTCATCATCATCATTGTTGTTAGTTCTTCTATCGTCATGTATTCTATGAGTTATAGTAGTTGCATACATCAGTTTGCTGATTGGAATCATAGAATAGTATCTATCATTATCTAGAGCAGAAGTGGATAGTAGTAAGAAATAGAATGGGAAAATCGAGGAGAGAGACGAGAGAAAAAAGAAAAAGACTAACGTATTTTCCCATGTGTTAACATGAAGGCAAAAAAAAAGCGAAGCAATAAATAACAGCAATAGCGCAGTTTTATACTATTTCTTAAGATTAATAGAAAAAAAAAAATCATAAAAGATTGACAGTTGTTTTTCAACTGTTGCTTTAACGCGGGAAGGTTACATTCGTGTCTGTGCATGACTAACCATGATATAATTGACAATGACAGGTCATTACATTATTAGTGAAAAAAACATTAACTGACAATCAATGCGAGTATGTCATATAATCATCAATATATACGACCCTCACAAGTCAGTTTCTGTTCTTGAACATATATAAGAGTAAAAGAAAAACGACATGTCGAGTTTTTTTTTCTTCTCATTGATTAGAAAATTTCATTGAAAGATGATATATATCTTTATTGGGCGTCGGGTAGTATTCCTTGTTGGTAAATATTAAAAAGAAAAAGAGATATTTATTAAATTATCAATATAAATATATATTTAAATGCAATTAGGCGTGTACAAATTGCTTTAAGTGAAAAACACATTATCGATTATAAACATCAAATGATTTCATTAGATCAAAATGAACATAAAATGAAACCGATTATCGACCAAAATTTACGAGGACAAGTACAAAAAAAAAAAAGAATCAAGATTCATTATTTTTTATTTCATTTATTTAAATAAGATACCTTCACTTAAAATTGGAAATATTGTTCTTAATGAATCTTTAGCAATATGTTTTTATCTAGAAGTAGAATCAAACAAAAAATTTTATTTAACATAGAAATAAATTTTTTATTTTATTTAGGATTTAATAAAAAATCAAGGAATTAAATTTTTACCTCAAGATCCATATTTACGAGCACAAGTACTTCAATGTACTTTTGATGTACGTTATTTTGATTTTAAATTTTATAATATTTATAGTAAAAAAATTATTCTAATTTATAGTCACTTCGATTGCAAAAATTTGGTAGTGAAAATGTAATCTATTATATTTGGCATACACCACCAGAACGATATAATATTGATTTATTGAACAAACGTAAAGAGATACTTGTAGATGAATTGATTCGATGGAACAATAGATTCAAACAACAAAATCAAGAAAATTTATATGCTGTTGGCAATCTATTTACACTAGCCGATATCTTTCTTTTACCACAATTAGCTTTTCTTGTTCATTGTGGTTATCCAATACGATTACATGAACAACTCGGTAACAAAAGAAAAAATATATCGAAATCTTAATTATTACTTATTCGGAAATAATATGTACATACTAGAAAAAAATCTTCCTTAAGCTATAGAATCTATTTTGAATAATCAGAAAAAAAGAAATATCTAATAAATAGTACTGTTCAATTGGAGAACAGAAATTTGGAAGTAAACTTTCAGGAGCATTTGTCTACTTAAAACACAGTTCATACACTAATTGCTATGACTAACACGTTCATATATTACTAGGTGAGGTCGAGGACTGTATCAAATGTAAGTAAAAATACTTTCAACAATTGCAAAATTCATGTTATCCGTTCAATTTTAAACACGAACGAACTTTTTCTTCAAAACTAGTAAGAAACAAGATCAATAGGAATCTTTTGTAATATTGATGTATTTGATACAAAACAGTTGATTGTTTTCATTTCGACATTAGAAGAAGAAGGTAGATTTTCACATCAAAATTTTGTTCGAATCAATTAAAACTGTTATATTGTAGTGTATATGTATATCTATCCGAATGAATATAGACTACAAAATGAATAAAAATAAATTTGAATTTTGGCTGAGACTTATCCCTTATCTCCCAAAATATCACTCCCATTTCTGATTTCTTAGATATATGACATGTTTTGACAAGTGAAGTGTCTAAATAAGATTATGAATGCTAAAATTTAGATAAAAGATGCCTAAAAGCCAAATAATCTCATCATTTTCTTACGATATGAAAACACTGAATGTAAACAGAAAAAACAATCACATATTCATCTTATCTTAAATCTTAACTCATGTATAGATTCCTACTACAAACATCTATGTGATCGTCCATCAATTCATCAATCATTTCCACCTCATTGGTTAACAACTACTTCCAACATATTAACCGATTGTTCCAATCTTATTCTAAAACAATAATAACTCTAAAATATTATCTTTAAAAACAAAATAAATAAAATTCTAAATAAATTCATATACATATTTTTGGATCCATCATATATTGTAGTAATTCAGTAAAACAATTTACCATCAAATATTGATTATAAAATATATGTTATATTTGTGCATTTCTAGATATAATAATTTATTTAATAGTGTATTATAAAAAAATGTTTGCAATAACATACTCGTTTAATTTTTGAATTTTTAATTAGTAAAGTTAATAGAAAAAATGTGAACGCCTGTTAGTTAATGATTGACAAACACTTATTAATTACTGAATTACTTTATTGAATATCATTTTGTTTATATAGTGCTATTCTAATCAAATAGATAAGATAATTAATAATAAAAAGAAAAGAATCCTTTTCGTAGATTTTCATCTAAATAGTATTAATGGATATTATTATCAGATAAGTTGATAATCAAGGATTGTTCTTATCTATTGTTCATTGAATACAATTGTTAACAAGATTATCAAAGAAGAATTCATCTCTAGAATATATTCAATATAAAAAAATTTATATTTAATACTTCTCGCTTAATTATTGTGTTGATTGATTCAATATGCATTGATACAATCAATTTTATAACAATTGACACCATTTTTATTCTTCAATATAAAGCCGAGCAATAAATTGGATGTTGTCGAGTGTGATAAACAACATGATTCAATTACTAAGAAAAAATTTTCAATGAAGATATTTACGGATTTAGTATAGTCTATTAACTATCTGTGTAATAGATATGATTAACTTGTTAATCGATTAATAGATGATACGAAAGTTTCTGGACAAAATATTTAATATTTAATTCGCTTAAAAGTACTCCAGATAGATAGATGAAAAACTATGTGCTAGAATTACAATTTTATACTATTTTCGAATTTTCATATTTTTACCGTAATAGGATCCAAAATTAAATATTGAAACTTTTGTTCATGCATTAACATCTAGAGGAAAACCTGCTCTGGGAAATGTACTGTTTGGGTTCCTTTTTGTCTTTGCATACAGCAACTAAATTGTTGTTTTTCCTATTGCCCTCATTTTTGATGAAAGGGTATTTTATATAGAAAATATCTCCGGAGACAATCTTTATTGCTCCGCTTGATTAAGAACGACAATTTAGTTCGACTTCACATTTTGTAAAGAATTATTCGCTTTACAAAATTTTAAAGGTCAATAGATTTTAGGACTTTCACAAAAGAATTTATAGATTTAGCAAAAACTTGTCTGTTTATTGTCTAACTTTAGTTTTTGAGATCTTTTTAAAAATTCTTTCACTAGTGTTGATCGAAAATTTATGAGTCTTTATTCTGAGCGAACAGAAAATTTTGGGTCTAAACCATACTGTTTCATTCGTCTAGAGTACCTACAAGCGAATCAAAAATGAACAAACATTTTTTTTTTGTTCAGAAACTTTCACACTATCTATTAGGAAAGAAGGAAGAATACTGCTGCCATTCGGCTACCTTGAGGTATGGAGTACTGCCTGATAGTAGATTCAACAACTTGATATTTTCTCTACAACTAACACCAGCTGTAGTTCAGAACAGTAGTCTAGCCTGACGCGGAGTTATTGCACTTAATTGCTTAAGCTTTCGATACACACTAACTAATCATATACTAGCCACGAGAACACTTATATGTCACGATGTAGTCAGCATGCCATCAGATGGGTAATCCAAGACAAACAGACGTTAGTAACTTGTCCAGAGCCATTTTATCTCTAATAGTACCAAAGTTTGAACACAGGATTTTGTAGATATGTGTCAGACTATGTAGTCACTCAACCATGACGACTTACTGCCTATTAATAACAGAATTGCAAAGAGAAATAGATAATTTTTGATTATTTTTTGTAAATCCTTCTCCACAATAGAAGATCTCTAGTCTTCTATTATGTCCAAGCGTACAAATTTTCAGAGGTCTTCTACTGTGAAGAGGGATTTTATATTATTAGTTCCCTATTAATGCTGATGTCAAGAACTTTGATCCTCTACTATCGTATATATACTTATAAGCGAGAGACTTACTTATGAGTCTCAGGAATGTTATTGATACGAAAAAAAATTTTTTGTTAACTTATGTTAGTATAAGATTTCTTTCTGAAAATATTTTATTTTAAAAAAATACATAATAAAATCTCTAATAATTCATATTAGTTATTTTCATTTTATAAATATAATCTCTTGTTTAAAATACTTTATGCTGTTTGTTCAGAACATAAGACTAAAATATATTTTATTTGTTCTAAACATTCAGCTTACTTTCATTTTACATTGTTTCATCGTATTCAATAAAATTTGAAGTAATTATTGGTTGATTAACTATTTTTGATTTAACAATAAAATCATTTTGATTATCATCAAGACCATAACGTGTAAAATGTTTAACCTAAAAACAAAAAAAAAACAAGTCCTATATTTAGAATTAAATTAAATTTTTTTTTTCTACCGTAAATGTCCAAGATCCATCATGAATTCCATAATTAATAAATTCTCCATCAAATTTTTTAGTTATTGTACGTAAATAATCATCATAATTCAATGCTTTTATACGTTCAATATCAGTTATTTCTTCACGTGTACTTCGATCAATTGGATAAACATCAAGTAATGTTATACGAGCTGGAAGATTTAATTCTTTACCAACTAATGGTTTATTATTATCATCTGGATAAACAATAACTTCATGACGATTAATTTCAACTAAAAACAAAAAAATAATATATGTATATATTTAAATGAATATATTTGAATTTCTATTACTTACTAATTTCATCAAGATTAAGACCAGTAACATTAATTTGACCATAAAATGTTACAGAACCATATTTTTCATGTCCAACAGTAAATTGTGAAAGAATACATTCACCATTATCATTAAATAAAGATTTTAATTCGGATATAGTTGGTTTCATATAATAATTATTACGAGTTAAAATTGGTAAATGATAATCTTGAGAATTTTGTTTTGCTTTACGTTGAATTATTGGTGATGATGATTGTGGAGAAACAATCGATGAATTTGAATGATGATTTGGTGATAAATCACGATTTTCATCTATAAAATTAAAGAAAAAAGTTAATGTTCATGTCATATATTCAGATAGGCTTACTTGCTGAATGTGATATTCGTTGGTTATTAACTGTTGTTTTTGGAGAAGATGGTGGTCTTATATTAATTAAATTTTCAAGTTCAACTAGACGTCTTGAAGGATAAAGTGAACGAATAGAATTAGATTGATATGATGGATCAATAATAGCATTTGATAAACGTAATTTGGATATTTTAGTTTGGCCAAGTAAAACAAGTTCTTCTTCATCAGTAAAATTTTCTTTTAATGTACTTTTCATTTGTCCGGTTGAGATTGTTGACTGTTGATTAGATGGTTTTATAGTATCATTTAGTGTTGGTGATGATGAAACAGGTTTTAATTTAAAATTAATATCAACTAATGAATGAGATGATGATCCTTTTCGAAAATTTGCTTGTATTGAAAGTGTATTCGGCATTGGTGTTGATGTTGTTACTGTTGCCGTGACGGTTGTTGCTGGTAGAGTTGAAACTACAGCAGGTTCTATAGGTACTTTAATTTGATCAATACTAGAAAAATCTTTTTTTCCACGATTAGCATAGGGATCAAGAAGTGATGCAGCAAGAAATTGCTGTTGAATCGTTGAAATTGATTGTTCAGTATTTTGTTCTTGTTTTTGTACTTGAGATATCATTGTTGATGATGATGATGTCATAGTTGGTTGATTTTGTGTTACAGGTAAACCTGTAAACAATGAAGGATTGAAAGTAGATGTAGTTGTCGTTGCTGGTGCATTAGTTTGAAAAATATTTGTTGCAGATGATAGAAATGAAAATGGTATTGTTGTTGTAGTAGGAACATTAATATTATTTGTTGTAGTAATTGGAAAAGTGCTATTCTGGGATGTTGCTGTCGTTGATTGTGGCAATATACTTGTGTTGGCAGCCGTTGGAGGTCCAAATTTAAATGATGTCGATGTATTTGTATTCGGTGGAAAATCTTAAAAAGTCACAAAAAAAACAATTTATCTTCAGATGTTACTTTATCGAATACTTACTATATAATGTTTGAGTTGTATTTGACTGAACATCTAATGGTTTTGTTAATATTGTTGACCCAAAACCTGATGTCGTGATCGGTACTCCAGATGTTGCAGTACCAACTAGATTAGTTTGTGTTGGATTTGACGTTCTAAATGCATTCATTGTCAATGCTGTATTTGTACCAGGTGCAAACGGAGTTGTTGATGTTCCTGCTGTAGCTAGAAACGCTTGATTAGATAAGCTACCTGATGTAGTATATTTCATAGAATTTGTTGTGCCAAACAGGCCCGAAGTTGTTGTGCCAAATAGAGTTGGATTTGTTGTTGTTGTGCCAAATGGAGCTGAATTTGCTGTTGCTGTACCAAATGGACCTGGGTTTGTTGTTGTGCCAAATGGACCCGAAGTTGTTCTACCGAAGGGACCTGAAGTTGTTGTACCAAAGGGACCCGAAGTTGTTGTGCCAAATGGAGCTAGATTCGTTGTTGCTGTACCAAATGGACTTGAGTTTGTTGTTGTGATAAATGGACCCGAAGTTGTTGTACCGACGGGACCTGAAGTTGTTGTGCCAAATGGCGCCAGATTCGTTGTTGCTGCACCAAATGGACTTGGGTTTGTTGTTGTGCCAAATGGAGCTAGGTTCGTTGTTGCTGTACCAAATGGACCTGGGTTTGTTGTTGTGCCAAAGAGAGATGGAATTGTTGTTGCTGAAGTATTATTACTATTGGACATTGTTGACGTTGTTGATGCAATAGAAGATGTTGCTAAATAAATAAGAAAAAAAATTATTACTGATAAATTTGCTTGTTTTTTTTATGAAAGAAAATTGAAGATATAAACTACGTCTTATATGAAATGACGATTGAAAATTGTCAATAATTTCAATTTTTTAAAAAGTAA